CCCTATCAATAGATATTTCAAGCCAATTCAATACATCGACAACATGCCCTAGGAACTGGGAAGTAGGGCCTAGGTTTTTAAAGGGAGGGGGGAGGTGTAGACCTTCAATAGCTATCGTTTAGAATGAAAATATGAAAACGAAAATCTTGCTTTTTCTTTTCTTTTCCCCTCTTTTCGTTTTTATCTTATATCCTCTTTACCCCCGTTAATTTATAAATGTTCGCATTACTGGAGTCCTTATGACACACTTTGAGTTCAAGTACATGCAGACACATGGGCCTAAACAAATTTGTAGGGCTACCTGAAGAATTCACAAAGAATGTCATAAATGCGGTTAGAAATATTTTGACAACCGCCAAATTTTTCAGGCAACAATCTAGGTTACTCAAAAGATAAAGATTGAAAAAATCAAGTTTCCACGAGTGCACTTAAAAAGCAGCTACTAGGCCTACGATATACGTGTTATATTAAATTGAAACCGTCTTTCTCTCTTTTTCAAAATGCTAATTATGATTTACGTTCCAGCCACAAGTTCATATTTTATCACACCTGCAAAAGAACGCCATAAACACGATTAGGAATTTTTTGACAAACAGCCAAGTTAATCAGAAATAGGTCAATCAAAAGATAACGACTGAAAAACATTTAAGGTTCCGCGAGGACATTAAAACGCAGCTACTAGACCTACTATATATATTGTGAATTATATATTTAAAACCCCTTTCCCCCTTTTTTTTGTCAAAAATGCTGATTATGACTTAAGCTCCAACAACAAATTAATTTTTTATCAGACCTGACAAAATTGTCTAAATACTGTTTCCTTAGATAAACCGAGTCTCGTGCCTGACGTTTGCGGGCGGTAGTCAGTGTCTCGTGTGCAAAGTCGTATAAAATTAACAAAACGCAACAGCCTGCCGAGTTTTACACCGTCCTCCACGTCTATCAGCTACATACCTAGGCTCGAAGTTACACTGAAATACGAGAGATAAGGTAAGTGAGGGCAATCATTCAGTATTGAATTGAACAAATATAGAATAAGATTTCATGTTATCCAGATTAAAATAACTCTTATTTTCACGAGAAAATTGGAAATTTGTGCATTCACACGCTCATGTTGTTTATCATAGACGTTAAAAGACGATTGCACCATCTTTCGTATTAATTATTGATGAAGCGCTGTCTACTTTGAGGTCGTGTTACTATTGCTGCCGTGCTTATAGGATTGGAACGTTATTTAATCATCAGAAAGCACATCATATATAGCAAGACGACCAAACTTCGAGTAGAAAGCAACGATAGGAGGGAAGAATAAATGAGACAAAATTACATTTTCTTGATATGATAAAGCTAAAAAACTTTTTTTAACGAAGAAAGATACATGTTTGTGCATCTATATGAAGCAGATCTACGTAAGCCTTTTTAAGCAGTATGCTGTCTACTGAAGATCCATTAATAAACTTTATTGATTTTTCACGCAGGAAATTGTTACGAGATGTTTCTGATAATTTGGCATGGAAATTGCTATTGTATTCTTTTTTTTATTTGGCACTTCACGTGTTGACTATCCACTCACAATAGAAATTGCCCCCTCCCCCCCAAAAAATAAAATAAAATAAAATAATCATAATAAAAGGAAGAAAGAAAGATCCACAAACATTACAGAGATCAGCCATTCATTTAAACAGAGACATATCTGTGAATATCTATTGAAAAATCAAACTGTGACCCTGGTATAGGGTCAGGAGGAGGCGTGTTAAGAATTAACATACATAGTGTTCCGGATGGACCCTACGTGGTTTTGTCTTTACATTTCCTCCTTATTGTTTACTGCAATCACTACCCTCCATATATGAAACTAAGAAGACGATAATGTAACGGCACGTTTTTAATGACGTCACCACCCGTTCTAACGACAGGAAAGAAAAGTCTGATAGATCGGGAGATTTTTGGTCTGGTCTGAGTCTAATACAATGTAAAAATAAACTATAACAAGTGGTTTGAAGGCTTTAACCACTTGTTATAGTTTATTTTTGCATTGCATTTTGTATTAGATTAATGTGGCAGTCTAAGGTTGTTCTAGGTGGTTTTCAAGTTTATGCACCCGTTTTTAAAATCATTTAGTGATATTACGACAATCGTTTACTATCCAATCAAGGTGACAGCCGAGCGTGGCCTCCGTAGTCTATACAATGCAAATTTAAAGACAGATAACATCAAACTGGAACACTGAGGAAATTTAAAGGACAGGAAAGAACTGGGCTGTATTCCATTGATGGGGCGAAGAAAACGCGTGCAAACTGTGAGGCCTACAAGAAGACGGCTTTGCAGCAGTAGTAGTAGTAGTAGTAGTAGTAGTAGTAGTAGTAGTAGTAGTAGTAGTAAGAGTAGCAGTCTAAGTTACAAAATTTATTGATCATTTAATGTTTTATTTGTCATGAACGTGTAGTCTTGACATCATGCTTATCAGTATGCTCATTTTTTTCAGACTCAAAATGGCAGATGTTCAATGCTGTGGAAAATGCACCGGCGCGTAAGTCGAGTGGATGAGCTGCATTGTCGAGCTAAAAGCTTGTTGGACCTTTTAGTGAACAGCAGATGCTATCTGACTTGAAGAAATCGGAGATCTGCATTTTGCTAATTTAATTATTTCTGCTCAAAACTAATCAAAATGTTACGCAATACATAATGCTCAAATTAGAGAGCGCTTGTTGCAAGTAAGATGGAAAAATTAACTATCCCCAAATGATCTGCTGGGTTGTGTTAATTTTCATTCCACAGCTGTGCACGTGTCTCAACTACCACATTTGCTGATTTCAGGAAGGCCACATGCGACGAGGGCTGCAAGTGCCCAAAGTGTCAGTGCTGTGAATGCAAGGACAAGGAATGCTGTACTACTGAGGGAGAGGTGAGACAGTATTTATATGAGAGAGAGAGAGAGAAAGAGAGAAGCAGCGAATAGATAAAGGCGGGGGGGGGGGGGGGCAGGAGATGGGGTTCGTTCTTCTCCATCCCACCCCACTCACCCCACCCCACCCACTGAATATCTACAGGTCACATATTTCGTATTAATTTATTGTTTTGCTTAATTTGATAATCCGATTGTTTTTTATTTTTGTTTGTTTGTTTGTTTGTTTTTTTTTGGTTATCTTTATTCTTTCCTATTGCACTGCTCTTCATTCACTCTCACTTGCGTTTCAGAGGGAAATCGAGAGACCGAACCAACTCGGTAATAATTGCCAAATACTTGATTTCAAATGTTGTTCTTTAAATGTAAAGCTGTGATTTAGTTTGTTTTACAAGGAGAGTATGCTCTGATATTCCAGGCCTGCAAGGAGTCTTGCCCTTCATGTACCACTGCTAATTGCTGCTGTAAACCAGAGTGTGCCAATTGCGCTGGAAAGGACTGCTGTAAGGATGGAAAGGTGAGGTTTCATGACTTCGGTGATGACTGAGCCCTTTGTGTGTGTGTGTGTATGTGTATGTGTGTGTGTGTGTGTGTGAGAGAGAGAGAGAGAGAGAGAGTGACCACCAGTTTTTTCCTTACAACTGTCTAGGAACCAGTATGACAGACTTTTGAACTAAAATAGCTTAACAGACGCTGGTTTGTGAAATATAGATTTATTTTACTTCTGCAACAAAGACTGCTGCACATGACCATCATCACTCCCATCACTGTCACTAGGAGGTAAGAGGCATGGACTGCATGCTGTATAGGGATCGATTAAAAGCAAAGTATTTTGTTAGCACTGCATTTTTTAATAAATATTTTTATCTGATATATTGATTGCTTTATGGCATGTTTTTTTTTTTCGCTGTATTTATGGACATATTCCTATCTCGCGGACTGCTCAGTCCTGTAAATGTGAAGCTGTAGAATGTTCACCAAGGCCAATTTTTATTTAAAAAAAATCATAGAATATACCCCGATATACATACACACACTGGACAAAAGAAGTGTCACCCCTACTGAGCCAATACTATGGGGGAGATAAATGACTGTGGAATGATATGCTCCTAGTATCATTTTATTAACATCAAATTTCACAAAAAATCACAAAATGAGAACAAAATATACATTCTACCAAAATATGCAGTTTCAAGTCAAAAATTAGTACTTAGTGGCATAGCCACGCGACCTAATAATAGGTGCCAGTCTACGAAGCAAGGATTCATATAATTGTCTGATGCGTTTAGGGCTTATGCTAGCCCAAGCATGAAACNTTACATTCCGCCTCTTCAGGTTAATAACTTGCACATATAACCGTTAGATAATTGCCTGTATCTTGCCATATTGGAGGAAAACAGGAATAAAATTTGCTGTACATGTACAAGACCAACAATACAATTCCATGGTATAGCGGTTTTATACTCATTAGTCACATTATAAGTAGACCAGGCATTATAAGTACCCAAGATCTGCCTACTTTTATTACTCTGAGTTAGGGGGTGACACTTCTTTTGTCCAGTGTGTGTAGAACATAGAATATGTATATTGACACACATAATGATAAAAGAAAAAAGTTCTCAGTAATATGCCAAATTATACAAGACCAGTTCACCACTTTTTTTTTTTTTTTTTTGAGAATATATGCAAAATTTCGACACGCTTTGTTCCAGCATTAGTTTCTGTATAGAGGATCACAGTGATGTGCCAAAAGCTACTGAGCTACTAGAGGCAATACGTCATTAAAAATAAATAGCGAAATTGCAACAATGGATACGTTTTTAAGTGCTTGTTTTTAATCTACGTATATACCCCGTGCGTTTTGTATTTTTTTAAAAGTTTATAAATATGTTGCGCTAGTTTTTCAGTTTGGAGTATTTCACTTTACTTTTGCATGACGTCCTAGTTTTCTGGTTTTTATGGGAAATGGGTCATACAGGAATTGTGTATAATTATAAAGTCTTTCTCAGTTATTTTTTTATTCTTCATAACATTGTAGCCTTGCACGGAGAACTGTCCACAATGCGTGAAGACCGAAGGTTCTCCTTCTGAGTAAGTTCCAAAGTTATCTTCTTCTTTCTCATCGTTTTATTTACAAGATAAGCAGTTGCCCATTAGTTAATTTGTGACTGACAAAGCTTAATTTTAATATTTCTTTAGAGACCGATTTTTTTTTTATAGAATATTGTAATCTAAATATGTGGGAAGTAGATATCTAGTAATGGATTGTAAACCTTGTTTTTAGGTAACGGTGCGGCAGTTCCTGGAAAGCTCCGGTAGCCTATTTATTAAAAAATGAAAAAAAAAAAACAAAAAAAAAAAACAGAGATGTACAAAAGTCATAACTGTCTCAAAGCCAACATGAACACATGAAGGTCTTCAGCCACATAAAAGTTGGGGCAAACTGACCAGATAATACGAAACCGCATAATTTGTCAAAATCATGTTTTAGGCTATATACCACATTGTATGGACATCTGTATACGTTGTTGTTTGCTTTTGAAAATAAAATCTTTAATTTAGCCGTAGAGTATAGTTTCAATAAAGATGATATAACGAATCTGAATGTTTGTTTTACACATATAGCGAAAGTTAAACAAACGGATTTTTCAACATTTAAGTTACATGTACTATATATATAATTTTTAGTAATTGTTAAAATTTCCTTGCACTGACGCCTCTTGGTTGCTTAACAGGTCGAGACACTTCACTGTTAAGCGTCAATAAGTTGACTGTCAACTATTGAAAACCCTGGAGAATATTGTTCATGTGTAATCCTTCGTGTACACCATTGACTATTGACTTTAGAAGACGCTAGAAAATGTTGTAATGTTGTTATTGTGCAGTCCTTCGCACACATATTTTCATTGAGTATCGATTAAAGAAAACCCCAGAAAATGTTGTTAATTTATAATCCTTCAGACATTCATCAGCATGACAGTTTAGACAGGCACAAATCGACTGTTAAATTTGCTGTCGTATGAAGCTTTGTAAAGTCGATTTTGTTACACGAGACTATTATTCCATACGTCTCAAAATGAAAAATCTAAAACTCTCTTCATGTAGGCCTACTAGACACCTTAATAAATACGTTATGCATAAGTCCTTCACTTGAATACCGGAAAAAGAACTTGGGTTTGCATACTGCCTGAACACATGCATGTTTACTAGTACACGTGGTAAACTTGACATTCATTTTCTATGACTACCAACTTGAATATGGAGGGCAATCCATATTTCCAGACTATATTCTGATATGCAAGTTGTGCCAGTTCTGCGAGTATTAGCAAGAACGTGCTAAATGCTCGGATAGACAGCATTCCGCTTACTTTACGTTTTAATCTATACATTGGTTTCCTGGAGTGCATTCAACCATAAAGTTCATTGAAAAAAGATAAAAAGACTAATCGTATGCTCAGTATGTCACTGGGATCGTTTTTCATTGAATAGACCGATCTAGTGTATTCATGAAAATAAATGACGAATGCGGTCGATACGAAATGTTCTTTTTTCTTTCTGAAAAAATGTACTCAATGATGACACTGCGGTATTAATGCTTATGAGTAGGCAAATATGTCGCCGTTTTCACCTACTTCTTAACAAATGGCTGATAACAAGTTTCATCAACATTCAATCGACTATTAAAAAGATTTACAATGAGTGCCCGATAACATTGTGATTAACGTGTGTACATCTTTAATGTAGATCCTTGTCTATCATTTTATTCAACTTCTATTTCTTCTTATCAGCTGGTCGTTTTTTAAAAAAAAAAAAAAAAAAAAAAAAAAAAAAAAAGACAATCTCCTGCAATGGCGTATATACCATATTCTGGCCAAAGCCATATATTAAATTAACGGTGTATTGACCCAGATATACCTATTGATCGTGTTCTTTCCCTTGGGGACGGCAGTCGGTAACTGTACATTTATGTATTCACAATTAATTGTAAGCCACAGCGAGCATTCTGTTTCCTACCGAAAGATCCGGCGGTCGTCAAGATAAATATCGTTACAAGAAATCATGGTACCATGAAATATACGGCGAGGCCATCACAAAGTGCAGCAGAAAAGCATGACAGGCCGCGAACACGGCTGATTTGATGAAGTTCTTCGTCTGATGATTTACAAATGCGGTCATGGCTTCGTGTTTATCATATCACAGTGTCAGATACCTCGGTTCCCAGAAATGTTGGGTTCCCGTGCGGTATCAGTTAACATGGAAACGTGCGTATATATTATATCAGTGAAAACATGTAACGGGACGGGACACAGAATGTCATAGTACCATTTTATCAGATTATGGTTGACGTATTGCTCAAGTTAGCAAAGTCACCTTAAAAAACAAAGACAGTTTTGCAAATTGTTCTTGACACAAAATATATATAGTTATTCCTCTTCAAAAAACCATTCTCCCTCGTAAGAAAAATTCTTATCTCTGACCAATAACCGTCCTTTGGAAGCTGTGAAAAAGTCACAAGACTCTCTCTCCACAGTCATGATATAGGGCTATCACAGATACTCTTGTATTATAGCATACCGTACTATCACTGCACGACCGCTTTCAATTCTGTCATGTAAAAACTACAAAAAAATCAAATCCGCTAGTTTCAAATAACTAGCACAAAGTTAAGTCCTCAGAGTGGACAATCGATATATCCCACCTTTTTAAAAAATCTTCTCAAATAACACATATTCGGGTTATGGAATTTTCTCGTGCATGATTTTTAGCGTGTAAAATGTTTATCACCGTCCTCTTTCAATGCGATCCAGTAGCTCCGTTGGCGAATTGGCCGGTGACACTTTATTGCTCTTGGTGTCCTTGCATAGAGATCCGCAGCATATACACCATATTATACAGCAGCACGTCACTATTCCAGCAAAAAAACCGAGGCCAGATAGTAAGCCAACTAGCATTGCTTGACTGTCCCCCGGATCCTCAGTTGTCTATGAAAAATAAAATAGCAACCAAATTAAAAAAGAAACGTGTTTCAAAGTAACGTGTTTCAGTGTCTTTTTAGCCATTTTATTACTGTACGTTTATATCTCTGTGAGAAAGAGAGCGAGAGGCGAAAAATACAAAAAGGTATTTAATACTATGGTTAGAACACAAGGATAACCTTGTAAGACACAATTGTAACGCTTATTTTCTATTTAAAATATGGTAAGATTGAGAGCGTACCGTTGTGCCAACAGTAGTTGTTATAGATTTTGTTGTCTCTACGGCGGCTTCGGTAGTGGTAAGTGAACTTCCATTACATTCTGAAATGGTAAAAAATAGCACTTAAAAAGCTTGTCTAATGGGATTATTTGAGGAAACTTTCCCGTCAGCGCCTTAAAGAAAACTTAAATAGAACAGAAATATTTGATCAATTGAAGCTGCGCTACATGCACTTTTACCCTCGATTTTATAAAAGCCATAATGGCAAACTGTTTTCTGGAAGCAGCCACCCATGCAGTCGGAATCGGTTCGGTGCACATAGCGGCAGGTAGACCAAAGACAGATATTTCAATAAGACAGAATCGATAAAGTATATGGTGGAACTTTAGATGAACACGTTAAAGAGAGATTAGTGCCAGTTGAACCGCTAAACACACGTCAGCACATCCCTTGAGATCATTGCATGGAAAGAACCGTGTCTCCTTCGTTTAAAAAAAAATCATTTTTCAGTTGTGCTATGTGAATAGGTGCAATCCCGTGCTTCGCTCTCTTTTTTCTTTTTTAATGAAACCACACTTGCGCATGCTTTTTCAATTTCTGTGTTGTGTTTTTCTTATCTATCTGTGTAAGTGTCCGTTTTCAACTTTACACAAGAATGAAACACTTGTACAGCAAGGAGGCAACAGTCACCCTTCAGCTAGGTGTAGAGCCACGTCCATGTTAGACTCTGGACAATTAAAACTTAAGATGGATTGATATAAACCTTCTCAAACTTTGTAAATGATCGTAAAAGCCACGCCACCAGGGTATAACGGTTTAAGAAAATACACACCTTGTCCAAAAATGAAGTGGTCAGAAAACGCGAACTCTAAATCCCCAACCATGGGCACGCCAACCAACTATCGCCCTTTATCTTACCTACCCTCCTATCAGGGCCACAGATTGATTTTTCACTATATATTCACAGATATGTCTCTGGTTAAATTGACGGATCTTCTCTGCATTTCTCGCGTCAGAGAAAAAACCCCACATAATAAAATCTGCGGCCCTGGTAGAGGGTATATCATATCTATTGTTGTTAGGGCAGTCGCGTGATACTGCTGGGGGATGCAGATTGACCGGGAGGCGAGAGGTATACGCGAGAATAAATTTCTGCTTAGATCTTCTCAAGAAAAAAAGTCAACTGGGGCATATTTTTGACACGCGTCAAACTAATTTATCGCGCTTGATGATAAAGGTTTTTAAGAAACTGATCAAGGAGTGTAATGCGGCTACATGTATCACTCGATGCTGGCACTTGCAATGTTCACCATGCGCCCCGACACTAGATGAAAATTGCTAGATCCAGGCCCCAGTTTCACAAAAAACTTAAATCAGGTTCCCTGGCTAAGAACTTAATTATCAAGGTTACAAGGTCACAAGGCACATCTTACCCTATTAGGAGCAGTGTTACAGCACTCTCATGAAAATCCTAGTCAACTAATCCAAGGAACTGACTTACTTACTTTTTTTGTGAAACTGGGGCCAGCTACTTGATTAAATCTAAACATGATTTTTAGATGTTGATGATTTGATTGTGGACATTAATCCGTTAATGAAAAAATATATTGTAAAGCGATTATGCACAATGACGGTTTTCTGACAGAATGACATGTGCCCAAGTTGTAAAGGCCTTCGGAAAGCCCCTTCACACTGAACGGCGTCCTTTCTGCGTCCTTCGTGATACCATGAAACTGGCATCGCTGTGGTCGTAAAAAAAGAGGCACAAGCATTGCTTTCGTCGCAAAATGAATGCTCAATGATCGGCCAGTTGTCGGCACGTTAAGTAGGCCCTATCATTTTTTTTTTTTATTTTACTCTCAAACAGGGCTGTACTACAGGACGGAGAAAGGACGCCGTCCGGTGTAAAGGGGACTGAAGTATTGAGAAAGGAAGCCAAAATATATTTATGAATAAAAAGCAGCCTTGAATGTCTGTATCTGCTCTTTCCTCTTTCGACATCAGGATCTGCGCGTATTTTAACCAATTTCACGATTATTCATTTTATATAAGCTAAGGGAACGACTCAGCTTTAAATGAACAAGAACGGAATCCACGCATTTTTTCGCCAACTTGGTTGTGATGAAAAAAAAAGTGTTTTCAGTAACTGCATAAAACGACACGCCATTTCCACGAAACATGCCGAAGAGGCGGTAAGAAGTGCACTTACGTCAGGTGAAGGAGATGGAATCCCGTATAATCTAGATGCGAAATCCCATTTGATGACACTAGTATCGGCACTCGCCAGTATGGGATTTCGGGAAAGAGAAATAAAAAAAAAAGTATATTCCATCCGATCGATGGCAGGAAGTGACTGCAACCATTATAATGTTAGTTCGTTGATAGGTGCTGCATCATGAAATATTCATCAAAACCCTTTACACCGTCGTGGGAAACAAGACAATGAAATTGACATAATATGGATATCCAGAGCCGGTAACCATGGTAACGAAACGCTGTTTTGGCAGTTGTACGGAGGGAATTTAGTTTTAAGTTACCACCTCGGCCACAACTGAAGCGCTCTTCAAAGAGAAGGACGCTAGACTTTGGATTTTTTTCCCCCGGAGGACTGTATTGATTAGCACAGAAGTGTTAATTTGCGAAAGAATTAAAAATGATGCTTCACATAAAGAATAGTTTAAGGGGTAATCCCCCACAGGTTGACGAGTTCAAAAGGTAATCCGTTTAACTGTTTACCCAAGCCCTAGAGACCGCGCTGTTTTCTTGCAATACAAAGGCCAAGGTTTAGGGGTGAAGAAAGCATTGAATCCTAACGCCTGTTTTTGCACACAGACGCCCCTTCGCACCTCTACTTCAAAGGTATACCATTAGGTAATTTTACACAATGTAAGAAACCACGCCACCCTTATACTATACCATATTATATACTTTGTGTAATCACTTTACAATGCTTTCTGTACCAATTTGTTAATATACGAAAATAGTTTATGTAACTTGCGAATGAGCTTGCGGAAATGGAGCTCAAACGGTGTCATTGCAGAAGCACTAGAAAAATGAAGAGATCGGTAATGTTGCGTTGTCATAGGTACCACACAAAAACAGTTATATTATCCTAAGCACTTCAACCAAGTTTGATGCATTGCGTTTGACTTCCGAAATATCCGTCATAAAATAAAGAGATCCCTTTAGTTTACCACGTCGGAACACAAAACGTATTAGGGAATTTTGACATACATCATTGTCATCTCTGACATATATGCATGTTTCATATTCCCCCTATAAGTTTTGGTTTTGAAGTCGATTTTTACTGTTTTGCACAAACAAGAATATGTTAGGTGTAATGCAGTATAATCAGTTAGATACAAATTCTTCAAAAGCGAGGGTGTGAGCTTACGATAACCTCCCCACGTTTTAATGCACTTCATCATTTTTTCAAACATTTTGAAAAGAAACCGAGGATAAGATTCAAGTATAAAAGTCAATCTCTTTTCTGTAACAAACAAATTAAGAATTGTGTTACTTGCCGTTCAGCGTGGTCATTTATAAAGCAAATCGGGAAAATTATTTACGTTCCATTGTAAGTCTCGGTAAAATGAATTGGTCCTTCACGTTTTTGACGCGTGATTTGGAAATATCTTGTTTTGCTAAACCGTATCTAGTGGATATAGAAATGACCCATTCGCCCTCCTTTAGTCTCTGATCAAGATAGGAGTCGGGGGGACTGTGTGTACGAAAACTGGACCAAACCAACCATCACAGCTGCATAGTGCCTTATGGTTAGCGGTCTTTGTCAACAGAGAAATTGAAAATAAACAAGAAATAATAGTGTAATAGAATATCAAACTCAGAGTCAAAAGGGGTTAAATTACAAGAGATGGTGATGGACTGAAAATGAATCGGTAACTGTTACCTCGTACCACTATTTACGGTACATGCTCGGCACAATCAATGAGCAAAGAGAGCAAAAATAAATTGTAGAACAGGGAACTGCGTCAATTATCCTCATTGATCAAAATTACTTCGAAAATCATTCACATCAACAGAAATGTTTTACGTTTCCATTTCTCGTATGTAAACAATGATTTTGTTTATTCATATCATATCATGTCCATATTGACTGTTTCTTTGGTTTTCTGCTTCTGTTTGCCTTTTGCAACAACGACTATTATTTGATTCAAATTCTGTCATTTCGGAGACGGGGCACTGATGACAAATTCTACAAAAACACTTTTAATAGCACTTATGGTATAACAATAGGTAGGGCACATTTGATTCGATGACTTTGTACTTCACATCGACACACACAGACACATAAAATATACACACACAGACGTTTGACTTACCTTGTATTTTGATACAGAGAATGGTGGTTAGGAGAACACACCAGTCTGCTAGCAATTTTATAGCTAGTTTCTTCATTTTTCTCTTATTTGAAGACGGGCATCAGCATAATTTCAACATTTTTTGTGGGTGCGTTACTTTTCCAGTGTCGTTGGCGAAATAATCTGCATTACGTGTTGATGAAAACATGTCGCTTTCCAATAGATCTCAGTCCATACTAAATAAAGCGTACCACCGGGTTCCGAAATATGGTTCTCGCGTGACTGACTGACTCGGAAATCACGATGTGTCATAATGTATAGTCAGTGACGAAACCAGTGAGAGGCGGCTTGTCACAGTAACAGCGCATGCGCAAGACAGTCATTCCAAACATCAAATTGTGTAAGATTAGACGCACAGTAAAATGACATAGCCGAAATATATTTTGGATCAGACTTATTTCGTTGTTGTACTTTGTTTAGCTCAAATGTAATACACGTCGAAAACAAGGAATTGGGAAGAAACACATAATTGATGTGCGCTTTATCGCGATCGATCGATAGGTCTACTGTTTTTCCGTGTAACATAGGAACGTTGATTCCCATATTATGGATGTAATTAGACATAACTCAAGACCGGCTGTTGTATTTCACGGTGATGCAAGCAGTATGAATGTGCTTATACCTTGTGACCAGGTAATTATAATAAACGAGTGAAAAGAAACCAACGTCTTATAACCACCGCTTCTTCATCTCATGTAAACTGCAAATCGGTTCTCACAAGGCTTGAAAGGCCTTCAGTTAACTTCATCGGTAAAGCGCGTTTATTCTATACGCGTAACACTGGGGGTTGGCTATGGGCACAATATGACATTTAATATGGGATTATTATTATTGAGAATACGGCATTACATAATACCTCCTCATTACGATATTCTAATTTCAACCCTCCTAACATGTGGGTTAACGTCACCTGGAGTCCGCTCCGCGATCCCCGGCGAAAACGAACGTTAATTGTCATTATTAGGCTAACCGTCAAGGTACTGACTGCGTAGATGGAAGTGATAATGGGAATTATGAACAGCGCTCCAAGATCAGGAAGTTCATTTATCGCATAAAAACATTTCGATGAATCATCAGTTGCTCAGGTGAACATGTCAATTATAAACAACTGAATAGAAAGCCACGTCTAATTGCCGCTTCTTCTTCTTCGTTCCTTTTTACTCCAATACAGCAAATTTGCTCTCGCCTGGCATGCAGTTTCATGATAAACTTGCAATTAACTTCATTTTTATCGTAGGATTCAGTCCTGTCCTTTTTTCCCCCAGAAAAACAAATCGCGCATTCAACTTCTTTGTCTGTCGTAAAGTAAGAAAAGGCATACACTGAAGCCAATATTTTGTAATCGAAGCTGCGAAAAACATCGAAATGTGGCATTTTGTTTCAATAAATCAACAAATAACTGATCAACGGCCTGAGCTTACAAGGTAGGCCTACGAGATGCAAACGCTGCGTAGGCATACATGTACCTTTCAAATTAACCTATACCATCACGTACATTTGTCAAGTAGCTGCCTTTATTACAGGTGCACAACAATAAATAAACATCCCATCACTTGTTACCCCGATAAATCAAAATAATAGTGATTCTTAGGGATTTGCAGTCTAAACATATCAGTCAATCTAATAAAACTATCATATTTCGACTACATAATCCAGGTGTAAGTAGGGGAGACCGGGGCTAGTTGGACCCCGGGGTAAGTTGGCCCCCCATCAAGTCTCTTTAATAAAGTTACTTTAAGATGCTAAATTATTTCATTTGGACGCCGACGCTTTCTTAGCACTATTGGATACGGTCACTTTACAAAATGATGTGATCAATTATTTTACCCCATAGTTGCTTTGTCATAAATTGATGGGGGGCCAACTTATCCCGGGGTCCAACTAGCCCCGGTCTCCCCTACACCGTTCGCTGACATAACAGTGTCTGTGTTGCTTAATCTATAGGGACTTTAACTGAAAATAAAACAACATTTACAAATATTAACTTGCGAAAAACTATGAGTTCATTTCTAGGAGTCGAGTTTCTCTATCAAAGAACACGCTACTTGTGCATCCATAACAACATGTAAGTTAAAAGTCGTAACATAATCTGGTGTTGTTAATAAAAAATTCTGAAGTAATATTAATCCCTCCTGAGAGTCAAAGAAGGTTATAAGTGCCTTCATCTGTTCTGCGTTTTTTTCCTCTTTGTTTCCCAAATTTATAGCATATATTCTTTGTATTTTGAACGGTAATAATGTTGTTTATATGAAAGTGTATTATCTCCAAGAGGATGCACTGAAATTCCACCATTGCATTTGTTTCTTCTTCATCATGATCCTCATTCTTTCCCGATTCTTAATTCCTCACTGAATACATCTTGCCAAACTCCAGCTGCTCTCGTAAAATCTGCATGAGACAATAATTGTCTTGTTTCTTTTTACTTACTAACACGCAATCCTTAGATCAATAAGGCACTTGAGTTCATATTTTTACTTGCACTAAGCATGTTAGCATACACGCACGCGCATGCGCGCACACACGCACACATGCATATTGCATCATAACAAACACGTGCACATTTGTCGCCAACTTGCCATGGTATCACACAAACACACACGATGCAGTTAACACTCACACTCAAGTTGCCATAATAACACATATTAAAAACGTACTTAACTATTTATCTTTATATTTATGAAGTGCAATTCTAATTTTGATTATCAGAATAACATTTATTCCAGACTTAACTTACCTACTACACACAGACCTTATCATGATAAAATCATTTCCTGGCGAAAGGGTTTTTTAGAATCTTATTATATAACATTCTGGTATTTTTCATGCCTGAATAAGCTAAGTGCTCTTTACTTTGGTATGCGTGATAACGGTATATTTCTTTGAACGTTCTGGACTTTTCATGACCTTCCGTGAAAATACAAACCTCAAACGGATCGATATGATAGAGTTCAAAGTGAATCATACTTATCAGAGACCAAATCGGCGATATGTCATTACTGTTTTTTTTTCAATTAAAGCACGTGGTCCAACAATTGAAAAAAATTGATGATCATAGCAGATAGACCTACAGTGCAGCCAGTTTTATTAACATTTGATCCCTTTTACGCATCCTTAATGAATGTTGCTGTTGCGCAATTTTTAATGCTTTAGTTGGTACATATATTTTCCGTTGTGTCCATTCATTTTCGGCTGAATGCCTTTTCACTTCATTACTGTAAGTTTTTCTGACACAATTGCATAATGGAGGAAATATATCACAATTGTGAGCCTGGATACATAAGAAGCAATATCCTATTAGACTATATGATAAGCATAGCAAGATAGTTCTATCGGAAACTGCACAGCCTAATTTCTCATCTTATCTATTCGAAAGCAGCGGCATAAACATTTACCTTCATTCTTACGTTACATGTTCTATGAAAATAATAAATGAAATATATGATAATAAAAAAATAAAAAATGGACATGACTGATACATCTGTACATAGGTTGTTCAAAGTTGTTGTTTTTTTATTTTTGTCGGCAGCATAAACGTGGTTGCTATTTAACATTGTCGTTGTCCTCAGCAGTTCATGCCATGTGCGTTACTTTGAGAAACGAGAAAACAATTTTGAAAACAAAATTGACTACAGCAAAGTTAACGCGTCCAGGCCTGTCGCAATTGATTGATTGAATTACTTCATGTCTTGGCACTTATTGGCAAATCATTTTCTGGGGACAATGTTTGGAAAGTGTATGTGTATTTATTTCTATAACATATCTTCGAGGTTTTAATAGCGTTCTGTGATTGTAATTGAACAAATAAAGCTTGGGGAAAACAAAATTGTATTCAATGTATCAACGGTGAATGCGATTTTTACTTTAGATTTTATCTATAGAATTGCATAGATAATTCATGACAGAGTCAAGGAGAAGAGACAGATTTCTTTCAGTTGTCGACTCAAAGTAATGTAAATATTGCGTTTGCAGTGGGATCAACAAAAGATGAGCCGACCTTCAGGTTTGTAGTAATTACAAATCAAACAAACAGTCAGTAAACATTGTTAATAGTGTTTGTAGTTTACAATGTATACAATTTCTATGGACAATCAACAAAGTGAGCGCATGGAATAGTTACATCAATTTACAGGGAACGCTTGTATACATTTTTATCTCCATTGTTAAATGCACAATACATGACATAATTGACTTTCATCCCAGAAGAAACATAAAATACCTGAGAGGCAATATTTCACGTCTGTACCAAATGAGAGCTAATCCATATTTCATGGGCAAAGGACTGGAAGCCATTTTTTATCAACTGGTGCACCAATAATTTTACCCGGCGGTAAAAATGTTGGATGATCACAATATTCATGCGTAGAGCGAATATGACAGAATCTTACGTGATGTCATTCATAGTTCGTTATATCTTGCCACAATTTATCCAATTTAAGTAACCTCCCTTGTGTGGCGGCATTGTAAGTAGACGAAGCACACACACACACACACACACATACACACATTTATTAAAAATGCTCTATTAGACAAATATGCACAAATTATTGCTGAAAGCGGCTCACTACAGTCCCAAATGTATTAGGGTTCCACATAGCTTACGTGATTGCATCGTATACTTTATAATTCCTTGATTAAGCTACATTCAGCTTCCCTGGAGGTTAGAAATATTGATTCAAGCATTCCAGAAAACATCCTGATTTTCCCAGTTGCTCGGCAGCACTTTAATTATTGAGCCATTTATTCAAGGTACCAGTCTCTACCGTCAATAAAAGGAGCCATAACAAAAGACCCAGTTTCCCTACGATCCATACCGCGAACTTCAGTTCAATTTTTGAACACAAGGAATGATCCCTGAAAAAAAGGGATACCGACAAAGCAGCGAGGAATCACGTATGCTGCCATCTACCACAATGCCCTAGACTGCCAACGGCACTACTTTCTGCACAGTAAGCCAACTGCATAGCAAGCTCTGCTGAATAGTGAACGGATTCGGATGGAAATCCTGCAGGAAGCCGGCCGAAGCGAGGTCGATCTTGTAAATATGGTCGTTAGTTATGTTCATGCTCACCACCTCTGAATTCTCAAGCAGAACAATGACACCGTGCCGATAAAAAGCAAGATATAGTGTTTCTTTTTAAACCTCCACTGAAGACGCAAGGAAAGCACAGATTTTAAGGTACCCCCGAGCAGCTTGGGATCAAGAGGTCAAAGGTACGCCAAAGTCCAATTCGTTTTAAGTATATAAAGTTAACCAGTTTTTATAA